TTTTTTGATTTATTGTAGAGATGAGGTCTCACCAAGTTGCCCAGGCGGGTCTCGAACCCACGGGCTCAGGCAATTCACTCACCTCAGCCTCCCAAGGCGTGGGATTACAGTCTGAGCCACCAAGCCTGGCTAGCATGCTTATTTCTTAAGGCAAATATTATTACTAAAAATAGAGACTAAAATGGGCCTTCACCTTGAAAGAGATCAAACAATTCCATTGATAACACTAAAAATTTGCTTAGCAAAGCTAATTTTAACAGAAAATACAAAATTCCATGTCAGGTTGTCAGGCCCAAATTATCACACATTCTAAATGGGTACAGTCAGAATGTTTGAGGTTTATCTAAACTCTCACATTCAGGAAGCAAAGGGTAAACATCTAGAAGGAAAGTTTTAAGAACCAACTTCTTGCTTCCCTCAGCATATTAAAAAAGAGCAATAAATCTAAAGATCTCAGCTTCAAGATGTCAATACCCAGGTTTTCATTGTTGTTTAGAAGGATATAGGGAAGGATTAAGTAAGAAATAAAGGAGCTTAGAAATCACTAATAAACTGTGCTCTAACATGGATTCTTCGATATTAAAGAAAGCTCACTGAGGACACTGTTCTGAGCTGCCCAAGAAATGAGTCTGGAAAATTACAGCTATTTCCTTTCATTCCCTCACAATTTAGAATTTTGAGTTATAAACACTGGAACTGAACACAAAGTAAACAAAATAAAATTTCAACTTTTTTGGAAATTTTACTTGTATTTGACTAACATTTTCGTTACAGCATTAAACTGAAAGCTTCATAACTAACTGTAATACAGCACCTTGCTCTAAGTAGATGATGCCTCCTGACCAGGTCGTGTTGTGGTATTTTTTGCATTGTAGTGTCATTGTGCCAGGGGAAGGTTCTCTTTTAGAAAGTCCCCAGCAGGTCAGAAGGATTCACACCACACAAACAGAAGAGTTGTGAGTACATGAGGACAGTTTGAATGCTCCAGAAAAGTTTTTTGACAATCAATGCCCAGGAAGTTGAGTAAAAATTCATCTTAAACCTGCAATGGCTCCATTTGTAATATGCATTATCAGTGTCCATACCAGCTAATAGGTGTTTCCAAGTTTACCTTTGTGTCTACTGAAAACAGCCAATTTAAGAAGCACCCCTACCAGCCAATGGCTACTTTTTCCTGAACACTTCCTGCCCACAGACTGTAGACAGCTCACCCCTACCCCTGCTTGAATGCCTTTCTCTAGGAGGCACCAGTGTAGACCTCTGTCAATCCACTTACCACCAAACCTTTGTTCCTCCTCCATATCTAACCTGTGTTCCCACCAATGCTACCAGGGAAAGAGCCTCTGGCCTCTCAATAGACCCCATGTGGAAGCTGCCAGTATTCTTGCCTTTGGAGGTGGCGTCTTCTCTCACTATGACCCTGACAAGTGTAGCTGGGTTTCTAGCTGAGCCAGGGCACATGTTCCCAGAGTAAATATGTGAAAAGGGAGGTCATGACCAGCCCTGCTGACTCCAGATTCTGCTTTCCTTCCCTAAGCTGCTCCAGCATCTGACCCCACCCCACCTATGATCCCCCACCCCCAGGCTCTGAGACGCATTCTCACCTGAGGTGCAAGCTCTAGGTCTAACCATCAGCTCCCCTCTGCTAAAAATTTGACCTTGACTTTGTATTTCAATTAGCTAAGGAGAATTTCACCTGTTTTCTGAAGCACTGTTGCTTATCCACAAATTTTGGTAACCTATCTGTTGCTCCTGATGCCTGAGTGGCTGCCCTGGCCAGGGCCTTATTCCCCCCAATGCCCCTCCTCTCTCCAACCTCTTCTCTGTTGCCCTCAAGCTCATGATGCAAAGGCTGGAGTCCTCCTGTCTGTGACTTTAGCCCAGTGCCTGGGGCCTTGCCATCTACTAACAGGTTCTTTTGAGACTGCCAACTTGAGTATCTCAATAAAGTCTCTTCCTAGATGTCCCTATCGGGGCAGTTGCCCTATCAAGTGGGAAATCCCCCTAACTCAGGTAAGAGCTTCTGAACAACAAGGGCTTGCCTCAGTGCTTTTCCGAGGCCTAGGTTCTTCTGTCTGCTACCCTGGAGTCTCAAGACCTGGAGGGTGTCATCCCATTGAAATTAACCAAGAACTTAACAGTTTGATCCTCAGGCTTGCCCACACAGCCCTGCTTAACCCAATTAACATAAAACAAAAATAAGGTGAGCTACATTTGGAGTACTATTCAATCCAAATAGTATTTATATGATAATTCTTGACAAAAACACATTATAATCACCAAACAACAAATAAATTATTTCAGATCCATCCCATTCTCTCTACTCCCATTGCCACTGATTCATTCAACTCTTGACTGGATTCTGCAGCAGCCTCTTGGTTGTATCTCTGTTTCCTCTCTCAGCCTTTCCACCCACTTCCAATGTGTCTTTCTGGCTTTTCTTCCTAAAATACAAGCTGGTCCATGCCACTCTCTGGCTTAAAGATTTCTCAGTGGCTCTCCATGCTGTTCTTGAGTGCCTGCACATTGCCTCTCCTCTGCCCTAGTCACTTGACCCGCTCTAGCCCCCATCGGCCACTTGTCCTTGCTGGACAAGCAGCGTGCTCAATGTAGTCTACATCTTGGTGCCAACTCTGCTCCCCTTTTTGGTGACCAAACCTGTCCATCCCTGAAGGTTCAGTTCCCAACCCAATCCTCTTCTCCAGGATCTTTTTCCTGGCCTGCTCCCTGAGCAAATCTGGGTTAGGTTGCATGTCTTGTGCCAAACTCGCACAGCATTCCAGGCTTCCTATAGCACCACACTTATGTTTCATTTTACTTCTCTCTTGACATACTTTTCTCCTTGTCTTTCTATCCTCAGAGCCCTGGCCAATTCTGGACAGATGGCCACTCCCACAGATCACCGAAGCTCCCTCCCTCTCTGACAGAAAGCCTTCCTCATGGTGGGCTCTCAGGCTCCATCTGTCACATTGCTTCCATACATCTCAGACCCTAAGGCTCAGCCAAAAAGGTATTTGGAAGCTGAGAACTGAGGTCTGGACTTTCTTAAAGCAAAGACATATCCAAATCAGATTATTTTTATAGAAAATCTTAGCTCTCCAGTTTAAATATAATAATGTATTTTGAACAAGGAAATTGCCCAGAGGAAAGTGACTAAAATCTAATGTGTTGATAGAAACAAAATAAATCATTTCCATTTGTGTATATCAAAACATCCTCAGTTTACGCAACATGTAAAGTGTTTATACTTGCTTGGCCTATACCTCTAAAACTTACTCTCAATAATATACAATGTATAGTAAATGCATTTTAGAATAATGGGACATATGAGAAACAGAAGATAAGCTTGGAGCCAAAGGGCAGATGGTTCTGAAGTCACTGCTGAGGGTTACCCTTTCACAGGGCAGAGGATAGGGCAGCACTGTTCCTTTGCCTAGAGGTTCAAGAGCCTGCCTTGTCATTAGAATTACCTAATTGCTGTTAGTAATGTGGAAAATTGTATGTTCCCATCACTGGCATGTGGACTATGAGATGGGGCAAACTTGCTTCTTTGGAATGAATATCCTTTTATCAATGTAAGTGAAAATCATCCTTTAGGGAGACTTCTCTCCATATTTCTACTTTGTGTTCCAAGTGTAGATCCATAGCTACTACCTCTTTCCTACTCTCACCACTAGATGAAGCATGAGCAAACGGGGAAAATGTAGATGAAGCTTCATTTGATGATTAACGTCTCAGGAACTCTGTCTTCAGAGGGTTGTTCTATTCCAGACTGTGTTCTCCCAGTATCCCAAGAAGTCCCTTTAGAGGCATCAGAAAGGATCTTTTTCTGAGCAGCAAGACAGAGAAAATAATAGCTATCCCATTAAACTTGCAAAAAGAACTCTGGTAGCAAGAATTGTTCTTGTTCTGTAACAAAATCTTTTCTCCTTCTCTAAGGACAGATTTGACCTTGGGTTAACTTTCTGTCTCTGTTCCCCTAGAAACCAATAAAGGTGGAATGTTAGCTGTGTTGCTAAACAACAAAGCATATGGTCAAAATGATCTGATTGGTAAATAGCATAAATGCCTGGTAGGAGGCCATATTCTAGGCTTATCTGAGTGTGGTGATTTTTTTGACTTAACATGACCCTTGCAGGGACAGTGGAAGCCATATTATGGTGCACTTATAAGAGATACTGGCTCCTGTGGGGCATCTATGCCAAGACAGACTCACAGCCACCGATGTGGGTCTTGTTTCCTTGTACCTCAGCTTTCACTTGAGGATTCAGAGACTAGCCCCTGGAACTCTTGCAAATACTCCACTGAAGAGAAATGCTTGACACTGACCGGCTGGCAAGCTGTGTTTCTTGCCCACAAACGTCTAAGTGAATCGATCTAAGTGTGGCTTATGGTATGAACTTGTAAGTCTGCAGGCTTGGGTGAAAACCTGTAGTGGATGTGGCACAACTAACCCATATATAATGTATTGGGTTTTCTGCAAAGCGTTTTCCTAAATACATAGGCTAGAGTGCTAAACAAAATGAAAAACTTTATTCTACCTTCAGAATAAGTATTAAGTGATAAAATACAAAGAGAAAACACCTTATATTCAGGCAACTACACTCTGACTGCAACCATGCAAAAATGATAAATAAACATGGTTAAGGTTTAGGAGGAAATATGGAAATATTCATATTACTATTTCGTTACATGAGGAATGGGATTTAGGGTGATGTGAAGACCCTTTGGCTGTATCATACCCAGCTTAATCCAATGTTGCTTTCTCCCTAAGTCTTACAAAGCATATGGTCATCCTCTTCACACAGCAATAAAAAATAATGAAGGACAGTAATCATAGCAGGAGAAGGTGGTTGAGATTAAACAACAAAATGAAAAGACATGTTTGGAGGCTGGGAGTTGAGTGAGGGATATCTTAACGTGTTGGCTATGACACTCTTCTGGCACTAAGAGTCCTTCTTATAGGGTAAGTCTCACTGTGATAATGTCATTAGATAAAAGACAGAGGCTGCCTGCAGCCTACAATATTTTGTATGGAGACTGGTGTGTTTGGTTTTAAAAACGGTACCTACAAATATGATTTTTAAAGAAAAAGGAAGCAGATACCCCATTTCTGTGATTTTCCTATAATTTCAGTACTTTGCTTTCTGCAAGTGGAATGTTCTATTTTTAATCTTGAACATATACTCGCCCTTGTTAGACCCCAATATTATATCTCTAACCCAAAAAGTGGAAATCATGTCCTTTCACAAGTGGAATTAGACCAAGAAAGCCTGTCTTTAAGTCTTTAAAAGCCTGTTTCTAATCTTGAAACCCTTAGTGGTTTAAGTCCTGATTATCTCTGCATTAACTTCCCTCCCGAGGTATTACTCAGCAGCAGGGTGTAGGTAGCTATTCCCAATTAAGCATCCTCAAGTTTGATCTCAAGACACTGTCATGTTTCTGTAGGGAGAGTAGACCTGAGACCTGATCCCAGAAACATTTTTAAATGCCAACAATAATAGCAGATACCTGGAAACTTGTTCACTTGACCGGAGAATATGTCATTGTCGTGAAATGAAACTCCATGCCAGTAGATGTCACAAGGCAAGCGCCGGCCAAATGGGAACTAGAAGAGAAAAAAATGTGATTAATAATAAGAATACAAGGAACATCGACCACAGAGTGTTCATTATGTACAAATTTCTGGTACCCTGGTGTACATAACATGATTTAATCCACATAATAAGCACATGAGGCAGGTGATGTTCTTATCCATTTTTTAGATAAAGAAACAGATTGAGACAGGTTTAATAACGTGCTTAGAGTGGCAGAGTTCTGATTACATGTGGCAGATACTATACCACTGTCTTTACAGGTGCCATTTCAGTTTAATCCTCATAACTACCCTATAAAAGATTATTCTCATTATACTGACTCAAAGCTTGGGACTGAGAGAGTTAATTTAACATGCCCCACTTCACACAGAGCTGGTAATAGGAGGAATCAGGATTTGAACCCAGGTCTGTCCAGATTCCAAGCCCATTCATCCCTTTCTCTGAATGTCCTCAAAAAATAAGCTTTCAGAGTCCCTTCCCCCCTCTCTCCCCATCTCTCCCTTTCCCTTCCTCTCCCTCTCCCTTTCTCTACCCATCCTCCCACCTGCCACCACATACACAGAAGCTTCATGAAGACAGGATATTTCTCAGTACCTGAAACAGTTCCTGGAGCTCAAAAAAAGACTTTTGAATTAATAAATGAACAAGCCGGGAGTGGTCATCTGACTCAAGATGAGGTAACCAGATTTTCTCTTCCAGGAATTTGAAAATCAGAGATGCCAAGCAGCCTCTGCTGGCCGTTGAACTAGGAATGATAAAAAGCCAGAGTAGGCAACTGTGCTTGGCTATATGCAGAGAGGGCAGAGGCAGCCAGTCTGCTGAGGGAGAAGAAAGGAACAGGTATGGGAAGAAAATCAGAGATCAGACCATGGAGCCCTGGAGACACAGGCCGAGTGGTGTTGAACTCACATGAGCTCAGAAGGTAGCCTCTTTCTCATCCTCACAATACCTTTCTGTCTTCTAAAATCCTCTCTGGCATAAGCTATAGGGTTTCAATTAATTGCAGCCAGAGAATCCTTCATTGAGATGAAAGGGTCTGTTATTTCCACTGTATCATGCTATATCTCAAAGTTATCAACAAGTTCTGCATTTACAGAATTTTTTAAATCTGTAACTTGGATAGCCTTGTTAAGTGAAAAAAGTGAGGACATGTTAGTTCATATTTAGAACTTGCTTGTTAAAAGGACAAATGAAGAGAAATGCTGACACATTAAATGAAAATCATTTGATTTTCCCACGTAGGACTATAGATAATCAGAATTTGTATCTACTCTGAGTTGAAGGGGCAAAGGGACAATGAAAGAGCATAGTGTTCCGAGTCAAATGGTGGTGACTTGATGCTTTCCAACCATTCCAAATTAAAATGAAGGCAAGCAGACTCAAGCCCTTCAAATCAGTCACATTAGTTCAAAGCTGAGCCAAAGTGAGGCATATGTTGCACACTCTATTAGCATTAACAACTTCCATCTATAATTTATTGCATTTCACTCATTTTCTTTGCATCCAATGAGCTGTAAGTTATTACTAATTTAGTGATCAGTAATACAAAGAGATACAACATATGTTATTTTCTTCTAGCTGCTAATATAGAGAAGGGAGAAACAACCAGAGAGGTTTCTCTAAAAAGCAGGCTATCCAACCAAAATGTACTAAGATCAAGTGGCTTTGCTGCCCAAAATGAGGAACCAATACCTGCTCCTTGTCAGTGGATGACCTGATGACCATTTGTCTCCCTTATTGTCTCTTTTCAATCTCTCCCACCCTCATGACTACCAAATCACCTTCCATTCAGAAACTCTTTCATCTTTGAGAAACTACCCATTTAAAAAATTGTATCCATTCATTCAATAATTATGTGATGTACAGGGACTGTGCTAGGTGCTGGGAATATAGAGGAACACAATTTTTAAAGGTGCCAGGATTTCACAATGCTACTTCTTTTTAAGTTCTTTTTAAAAACTTACACAGCTAATATCATACTCAATGGTAAAATGCTGAAAGCTTTTCCTCCTAGATCAGGAATAAGACAAGAATGCTCACTTTCACCACTTTTATTCAACATAGTATTAGAAATTCTAGCCAGAACAATAGGCAAGCGAAAGGGGAAAAAGACATCCATGCTAGAAAAGAAGTAAAATTATTTCTGTTTGTAGATGACATGATCCTATTTGTAGAAAATCCTAAAGATTTCACACAAAAATTGTTAAAATAATAAATGAATTCAGCGAAGTTGTAAGACACAAAATTAACACATAAAAATCAGTTGTGCTTCTGTACACTACAAAGAACAATCCAAAAAAATTAATAAAAAAACAATTCCATTTACAATAGCATCTAAAAGAACAAAATGCTTAGGAATTAACTCGACCAAGGAGGTGAAAGAAATTAAAGAAGACACAAATAAGTGAAAAGACATCCCATGTTCATAGACTGGAAGAGTTAATATTGTTAAGATATCAGTACTACCCAAAGTGATCTATAGATTCAATGCAGTCTCTACCAAACTCCCAATGACTTTTTTCAGAATAAAAAAAATCAATCCTAGAATTCATATGAAATTACAAGGAACTATAAATAGCTAAAGCCATCTTGAAAAATAACCAAGTTGGAGGTCTCACATTTCCTAATATCAAAACTTGTAACAAAACTACAGCAATCAGTGTATAAAACAATGACAAAATACTATTACACACCTATTAGAATGGACAAAATTCAAAACACTAACAACACCAAATGCTGGCAAAGATGTAGAGCAACAGGAACTCTCATTCATTTCTGGTTAAAATACAAAATGGTACAGCCACTTAGGAAGGCAGCTTGGCAGTTTCTTCCAAAACTTACCATATAACCCAGCAATAGTTCTCATTGGTATTTACCCAAATGAGCTGAAAATTTGTGTGACAAAAAACCTACACTTGGATGTTTATTTTTTTATTTATTTTTATTTTTTAAATTTCGAGTTGGAGTATCGCTCTGTCGCCCAGACTGGAGTGCAGTGGCCACCGCAGCCTCAACCTGCTGGGCTCCGGCAATCCTTCCACCTCAGCCTTCCAAGTAGCTGGAACTACAGGTGCACGCTACCATGCCCGGCTAATTTTTTGTTTCATTGTAGAGATGAGGTCTCACCAAGTTGCCCAGGTGGGTCTCGAACCTGTGGGCTCAGGCAATCCACTAACCTCAGCCTCCCAAGGTGCAGGATTATAGGCTGAGCCACCGAGCCCAGCTTACATGGATGTTTATAACAGCTGTATTCATAATTGCCAAAACTTGGAAGTAGCCAAGATGTCCTTTGGTAGGTAAACAGATAAATAAACTGTTTTGCATCCAGTCAATAAGATATTATTCAATGTTTTAAAAAAATGAACAAACCCAATCTCTGTGACTGGTGGATTAACTACTCAGGGGCTGATTGTGACTCAGAGAGAATATCCTGAGAGCACAAACTCCAGAGGGATGGGACAAGTACTGAGTCTCAGGTACCCCACCACGACCCTGATTCAGCTGCAAGACAAAGGGAGTGACCAGAAAAGGATGAGGAAGACCTCCCAAGAGATCAGTGAGTGTACACCCACATACCCATTACATCATCATATAGAGTGACAGTAGAGAGTGGGTCTCAGGGAACCCATACCACAGTCAGTGAACATTGTGATTTGCAAGTGGTTTCTGGATCCTAGCTTCCCATCTTCCACCTTATTTGACTCTCAAAACCACAAGAGACAGCAAAGCTTCCAACACACAGCCCTGTTTCAAAAATAGAACAAATTCAGATCCCTGATCAGGGAAGAATAGAGGGCTGAGCAAACATCAAAAGTGAAAGCCTCTCCCACTGCCACTGAATAATGGAACTAAAGAGAAAAGAGATCTGTCACAAATGAGGAAAAATCAGTGGAATAACATAGGTAATTCCCAGTGTAACGAAGAGAAAATACCTGAAAAATCAGACCTCAGAGCCCAAACAATGGAATTCACCAATGACTGGCCCCAGAATAAACCAGAGATTAGGTAATGGATGGAAGCGTTAATAAGACTCAAGAAAGATAAGCTGCAACACTTAAATAACAAAATGTGGCAGACATTTTGGCCATAAAACATTTCATCCAGGAAATAAGTAACAAGATGACAAGCATGGGAAGCAGAATTAATCAAACAGAAATAAGAATCTCAGAACTTGAAGACCAAAACATGGAATTAACCCAATCTGTAAAAAACATAGAATGAAAACTCAGAAAGAAAGAGTAAAACCTCCAAGAGATGTGTGATTATATCAATAGGCTGAACCTATACCTGACTGGTATCCCAGAATAAGAAAGGGAAATGGAGAACACCTTGGAGCAAGTATTCTAGGAGGCTATCCAAGAAAATTTTCCCCATCTCACTAGAGATGTGACCATCCAAACACAAGAGATACGGGTACCCCCACAAGCCATCAAATGAGAAGACCAGTCCCTAGACAGATAGTAATTTGCCTACACAAAGTAGTACAGAAGAAAAAACTCCTAAAGGCAGCAAGAGAGAAAGGTCAAACTACCTACTGGGGAAAACCAATTAGAATAGCAGCAGACATATAGACAGAAACACTACAAGCTAGAAGAGATTGAAGTCAAATATTCAAAGTCCTCAAAGATTAACAATTTCGACCAAGAATTTCCTACCCAGCCAAACTCAGCTTCATCAGTGATGGAGAATTAAAATCCTTCCTAGACATTCAATCCTTAAGAGATTATGCAGCTTCCATACCACCCTTACAGGAGATACTTTAAAAGGTATTAAGCACAGAAGAAAGAAAGAAAGAAAGAAAGAAAGACCACACACTTCCCAAGAGAACAGGAGAACACAGAATCAACAGAGAATACATTGGGACTGCAAACTTGAAAATACACACATACATCAACCCAAAAGTTAAAAGAAAACAAACAAACAAAAAAAACTTTACAAGAACCTCATGATAGGGATAAACAATCACATTTCAATAATAAGTTTGAATGTGAATGGACTAAATGTATCACTG